CTTAGAACACAAAGAGGGGTTCTTTACAGCATTCTATTGATCAGGTGGAACCAGCAGGGCCTGTCTGGTCCTACAGCCAACAGGAGGAACCATACAGAGAAGTCTGGGAACAGAACTGCTTCCTTTAAGCCAGCTGACCAGCAGTGTGTTGACACCTGAGGGGAACGGATGTGAACCTCAGGAACCCTATGATGGTTCTTTAAGAACCTTGATGATCCGGTACCATTCTGGACCCCAGGATCTAATTAAACCTGTTTCATCTGGAGAGGTTACCCAGCTCCAGCCATCCTTCAGAGGGAAGCTTTACTGGGTCTAATGATTCTGACCCGGATCTGTTCTGAGATGGACTGGACCCAAACAGACGGGTTACAGACACAGAACCAGGTCTGTGGCCCATCACAGGAAGACAGAACCGGGTCAGAACTGATCAGAGAAAACATTAACACCGGGTCCACAGAGTCAGACTGATCTTAAACAGAACCAGAGTGAAACCAGCACCAGGAAGCAGAGATCAGTTTACATCCCCGAATCAGAAAGGATTTACTCACTGCTGAAGGCAGAACCGAACCGGACAGTTCGGTTGAAGCCCGTTTTATGTGTCCATAAATGCGACAGTTGAAGAGCAGCGTATCGGAGCTGAATTATGTTAAAGTTTGATTATTCTTTTTTTTCTCCATCTGGTATTAAACAGATCAGCGTCGATCTAAACTCAGTGCCGAAAAATTAAAATGTGATAATATATAAAAAATGTAAACGTTCATGGGCAGAACTGAGACTTTCACCGGGTGATCGCTTAGCAGCTAGCCCCACAGCGCCTCCTAAAGGCGGGGGGTAGAGCTGCTCATTTTGTCAGGTTTATTATCTTGGGAAAAAACAACAAAAATACATAAATAATTATATTATTTTAAATACCTTATTTCCTCGTGTTCTAAGCTCTCCGATAATTAACAGTGGATATCTTTTAATAACAAAATAGTGATGTTTAAACCAAACGCTAGGTGGCAGCAGAGGGGAGCGTTCAACCGGAAGTCGTCTATGTCAACACGGTGAACCGTTTCCTCCTCACGACGTTTCTCCTCCGATGCTTTAAATCATGAAGTAAGTCATTTTTCTCCTTTTATTTGGGCTCGTTCTGCCAGTAGTGGACTGATGGATTTATCATGTCTGGTTCGCGTTTGGTACCGCTACCGACCTACTCCTGTGCTCGTTATTGAAAGCAGCCACCTCCCCCCGGATTTCATTCAGAATTTAACAAATTTAAATCCATTTTTTTATTAACAGGTTTATAAATCGGATTAAATCCAAAATCAAATTATCTGTTGATGTAGTAACATGCTGCTCTTTAAACCGGCTTTCAAATTGAATCCAAAAGTTTGATATTTTTGTTTGGGTTCGCTCTCCTCTTAAAGTTTAGGGTGTTCCTGTCTAAAAGGATGAAACTTTATTAAGTTTGGTTGTTTAGACAATATTAATGTTTGTTTAAAACAACGAGCTGCTGTTCTGTTGTGATTGGACTGCAGGGGCGTCTCTAGGACCGAACCTCCAGGGCAGCTGGGTTCCTCTCTGGATCAAGATGATCGCCATGTTCAGGAAGTTTTCAGACAATTCACCCAAAAAACATGAAAGACTATTGAAAGACTATTTCTGATGATGACTAAATTCTCCAGATTAGGTGATGGCTGGGATTATATGACCACAGATTAGCTTCTGTGTGTGAGAATAACCTGATATCCTGCTTGTTGCACTTCAGGAGATGTTTAGCCCCCTGAGTTCAGACAAACCAAAGCAGAGCAGCAAATTTAACACCATTTTTATAAAACATAAAGGCCGTTTCTCATTTCACTTGAACGTAAGTACAGACTCGTGTCCTCACCAAGTATGTTCTTGAGAAGAACACAGGAAAGTCTGGACTCGGGGAGAATGGGAGCACGCAGCATAAATATGGGTCAATTGGAACAGAAGCGTACCGATTACATCACCACATGACCGGCTTGTCTAGTGCTGCATTTCACCTCCTGTTATTAATAGTCTCTAGATAATAATAAATGATTGCTTTTTTCATTTAGTGGGGGAATAATAATGAACACAGTCAGATAAACACAAATCGAGTGAACATTTTGCCAAATAAATAAAAAAAAATCATCATCAGAGCCAGCGGGACTTCACACACGGTGCGGGCTGCTGCAGGCGGGCTAGGATTAGACATGGCTGCCGTTAGCTTTGGAGCTTCGCTGGTTGCCGGAGTCCTCTCAACTTCGGAATTTCTTTTTTTTAAATTATGCATTACATCAGTTAATGGGCCTTATATTGACGCTTAAAAGTATAATGTTTTCGCTTTAAATGATCCTAAAATGTAGTTATATTGAACAGCTGCAAAGAAAAGAGAACTTTTAACTTTCAATGGAGCGCTGCATTGAAAGCTGCTGCTGCCGCAGTGCATGCTGGGACAGCTGTCAATCTCAAGACTGGACAAGTCTGCTCTGATGCATGCTGGGTAAATAGAGAGGGGTTGAGAACAACATCCGGGGACTTTGTCCATTCTCGGTCTGCTGTTCTTGTGAAGTGGAACAGCACTAGGCCTGAGAATGATGTTTCACGAGTACACTTATTGAGAAACGGTTAAAGTCCAATTTTTAGTAAATATCTGCTGCCATCGGTTTCTATTTTTAGGTTTGGAAAAATAAAATACCACATTTTCTCTCTACAGAATGTTGGTGTTTGTGGGAAATTTATGTTAAAGCATCCATGGTTCTAAGATAACAATCAGTTATCCTGTTCTGCCACAGACGTCTGTTACATCAAGTTCAGAACTATGAGCCGGTGGGGGCCCGCCTTTTGGCCCCACCTCTGATTGGTTCTGTGGGTCGGACTGTCCCCGTTCTCAGTTCTGCAGGCTCACTGTGATCTGTAGACAATCTGGGCCCCCATGAAGCCTCCAATGGGAACCAGAACAGGCCCTCAGATCAGAGGAAGACTAAAGGTTGAAGAACAGCTGAGAGAAACATCTGGATTTGTTCCAGAAATAAAATGCATCTTTGCTGATTTGTTCTAATTTCTTCCTAATTTAAATGAATTCTTTAGTGTCACTGATCAAAGATTGCAGTTTAACCGGTGTTGGTTCTAAGACGAGCGTTCTGATCCGTGTGTCTTCAGTCCTCTGACCAAGGTGAAGCTGATCAACGAGCTGAACGAGCGGGAGGCCGACCTGGGCATCAACGAGGCCGTTTCATGGCACAGCGTGTACAAGGACAGCGCCTGGATCTTTGTTGGTGAGTCATGATCAGGCAGAGGCCCCGAGGGGCCAAAAGGCCCCCAGTGAATCAGGAACAAGATGAGAAGTTTTATCTGATCCAGAGTAAAATGTTTGCAGCTGAACTTCAAATTGAACTAATCTGAATGTCTGTGGACTTCCTGCAGGAGGCTTCCCCTACGAGCTGACCGAGGGAGACCTGATCTGCGTCTTCTCTCAGTAAGTCAGAGGATCCGTCTTCCAGCTGCTGTATCGTCTGATGTCGGCTGAAGGGCTGATTTATACTCTGAAACCAGGTCGTCCGCATGTGTTTGTCGCAGTGAATACAAATGTTCCGCCCACAGGAGGCCTCTGATTGGTCAAATCTATATTCGCTCATACACGGATTTCCTGTTTGGTACCTTAGCGGCTTGTTTTGTTTGTATGACCGCCATTGTGGAAAATGACTTATAAAGATGGACCAGCTAGAAGAGCGAGGTGCGCGAAAACGCTGGGACCCTTTTTCCACCTGGATCCCCGCTCTTTTTCGCTCTCATGTCCCTCCGTTGTCGCACAAACTTGCCCCCAGTTCCTCACCGCCTCGGCCGTATCTAGACCCACAGCTAGTTCATGGTCGTTCCTCTTGCGTTGTGGCATAGAATAACAGCGTAGATCACGCTACATTATTGGGGATAAATGAAAAATATCTGCGACAAGCTCACTGCGACACACTGGAATGGATAACCGGCCCTTAACGCTTTGATCCCATCAGGTATGGCGAGGTCGTCAACATCAACCTGGTGAGAGACAAGAAGACGGGCAAGTCCAAAGGCTTCTGCTTCATCTGCTACGAGGACCAGAGGAGCACCATCCTGGCTGTGGACAACTTCAACGGCATCAAGGTGAGAGGGCCAGCGCTGCCCCCGCTGGCTGACCACTGGAACTGCATGGAGATGATGGAGCTGATGATGATGGTGCTGATCCATTTCCACTCTGCTTTCAGATCAAAGGTCGGACCATCCGCGTGGATCACGTCAAGGACTACCGTCCCCCCAAAGACCACGAGGACATCGACGATGTCACCAAACGCCTCAGAGAGGACGGCTGTGCCCCCAGAGATCCTCCCGCCGCCTCAGAGGAAGAGGAGCAGGACGCCATACCTGTGAAGAAGGCCAAGAAAGGTGAGGTCACTTCCTGCTGTCAACAAAGCACCTGATCCAGACCCATCCTCACCTCTTCGTCTGTCGTTTTCCACCCCAGATAAGAAGGAGAAGAAGAAGAAAAAGAAAGAGAAGAAGGAGAAGAAGAAAAAGCGGAGAGAGTCCTCTTCCTCGTCGGATTCGTCTCCTCGTCATCCGCCTGTCGCCGTCCAGGTCAAAGAGGAGAAGCAGGACTCCGCCTACGACAAGTACAACCAGCAGGGGGCGCAGAACGGACAGAGGACGGCGGAGAGAGGGAGAGGAAGGGACAGGGAGGAGGAGCAAGGCAGGAGGGACGGAAAGGACAGGGACAGAGAGACGGAGAGAGAGCACAGAGACAGAAGACAAGACGATGACAGAGAGGACAGGAAGAAAGAGACGGACAGAAGGAGAGACGGCGAGAAGAGAAAAGAGGACAGAGACGACAGATGGAGAGAGACAGATCGAGAGGACAGACGGAGGGAGAGGGAGCGGGACGATGGCAGAAGACGAGACAGAGACGACAGGAGACGAGACGCGGAGCGGCGATGAAGGCTGGACTGTAGATGTTTTCTGTGATGTCACTTCCTCCACCGCCCGAGGGCTCAGCTGTCATAACACGGCGGCGCCTCCAGAGGGCGGTGGTGAGGCGCTGCAGAGAATGATTTTGATAATAAAGAGAATAAAAGATCCGGTTTGATTATTGATTCTAATGAGGAAGGTGGTTACCATGGTGATTCAGCCTTTGCTTGGCCAGCAGGGGGCGCTCCCAGCGAGAACCTGCAAATGTGCCTGTGTTTGCTGCAGGAGGGTAATCAGAACCTTCAGGTCCAGTTCCTCTGATTGGTCAAAGAAACGGAGAACAGGAACAGAGATTAAATCCAAAAAGTTCTGGATATTTCTCTGGATCAGAACCTTTTATTCTGCTTTAGTAGAAGGCAGTAAATGTCATACCCTTCCTCCACCTGTAGGGGGAGTAAAGACCCAGCCAATCTAATGCAGACCCTGGCAGCCGGGTTCTGGAGACACTGGGTCAGTGTTAGGGTGTTAAAAAAGATTAAGGATTTATTTAAGTTTTATTTTAAAATACAACAATTTAAAGTTTTCTATGTAAAAAAAAAAAAGGGATGAGAAAATCAAAAATAAAATATTTCAGTTCTATCTAACAAGAAATTACTTTAAAACAGAAGCTTAAACATCTTTTGTTCATTTCTGAGACCAGATGTCTTCATAAGAGCAGCAAATCTGAGAAGTTGTCATTTTATCCCAGAATAAAATGTCTGTGGAACCAAAATATGAATTTAATGGCCTGTTGACCAATGAAACGACAGACAGCATCAGGATGTGGGGGAGCAGGATGAAATGCTCTAAATCACTTCTCTCCATTCCGCCCTTCATGCATTTGCACACATTTCCTCACCACTGTGGTGAACTACTGTTAGGAAA